GTGTGTCAAGGACAGAAAGGCAGATGTGGCAGTGGAAGGTGTCAAAGCAGTTTGGAGAGAAAAGCAAAGGACAAAAAAAAMCCATTAATCGATTATTAAATTAGTCATCGATTATTTTAATAATCGAATAGTTGTCGATTAATCGGTGCAGCCCTACATAAGACCAGCTATGTTGTAGGGTTCAGAGGCAGAGACGTGGACAAAAAGACAGGAAACGGAACTGGAAGCATCAGAGATGAAGATGTTGAGGTTCTCCATGGGAATGAGAAGAATGGATAAGATTGAGATCATTACAGGTWCAGCACAGAGACCAGACTGAGAGGGTTTGGACCAGAATGGGGACAGTGGGTACACTGAGGGATGCAGGTGAAGGAAAAAAACATGACTGTGGTTGGAGTGAGAACAAAGTGAGACAGAGGAGGACTCTCAATGTGGTGACTCCTGAAGAAGGAACAGTCGAAAGAAGATTTCTACTCCCTGTCGGTTCCATTTTCTCTGTCATTCTCTGTAATGATGTATATTTTTTAATATTACTGTATTTATGGCTAATGGTTTGTGTCCTTTTTGAGCTGAGCTCCCCCTCTCTCTMACAGAAAGTTCTGATAACGCTCACCACAAAAATCCAGTGGAACCAATTACAGCTCTGCTCTCCTGGCAAATCAGCTCTCAGCTTTAACCCCTTCCCCACCAAGGCAAAAGGAGAGCAAAGTGACTTCCCTGCTATAAAACGTCAAGCACAATTTAGAGCGTTTAAAAGGATGCAGAWGAAAAGCAATACTCAATCCAAACTGATGGGAATTGAATAGATCTTCCTTATTGACTAAACAGAGTAATGCCAGCTTAATGAGGGGGACAACAGATGTGCAGCTCTGTATTCACCCCGGGAAAGTGTTCAGCTATAAATCTTACATCTTTTACAAGACGTCTGTGCGTCTTCAAACACACCATCTATATCAACTTTATTACCTCAAACATGAAAAATGTCAGAATCTCATTATTCTTTCTGTTCTGTCAACAAAACATAAAACAGTCGTTGTCATCATGAAGTCTGGTCGTTACAATAAAAACAGAATTTGGAGAATTTAAGAACCATTTAGAATATTTCATAACAAGGTTACATTCTGATGCTTAACAAATATGTGACCCGTCACATCGAAACGAGGATTAAGTCCAAAATTGGTATATGGAGAAAAAGGTAAATATAGTGTTTTGACTAAAATGTTAACAAAAATTGCATTTTGTCAAAATATAATGAATAAATGCCTTATTGATGTATCGTTTGAATGAACTGTCTGAAATATAATCAAAAAACAAAATTTTGAAGCACTTTTTTGAGCAGTGGTAACAAAAAACCTGATTTTGAGGAAAAACGCCTTAAAATTTCGAGAGTTTCCCAATGAGCTAGCAAAGTTTTGTTTCTTTTTAGCTGGGAAATCTCAATATGCAAATATAATTTCAGGTTTCCTCTTTAAAAGGACATCAACAATTCCTCATTAAAATGACATCAAATTAGGATTCTGACCAAATATTTATGTATTATTGAAACCAACAAGACAAATTAAGTCATATACAGTATATGGATTTACTAAAGATATCAGAATGATCCAGGTATCAAAATGTAGCTTTTAAAGCCAAGAATYTGAAAATGTAATTAGGTCATTTTGACCAAATTTGACTTAATCCTCATTTCGATATGATGGGTCACAAATGTGTTGGTTTCCAAGTCTGTTGTTAATTTGGCTTCTAGTTTTATTTTCTGGTAACTTAAGTGTTTGATGATGTGTACTGCATACTCTTATTTTTCTAATAGTTTTAGATGAGAAATAAACCAATGCCTTAATGATTCATTTTTTGGTTCTTGTATGTTTATCTGTTGATKTTCATTCATTCTGCCACTCAGTGAAAACCTGATGTTTTCATGTTTGGTTAGTTTTGCTGCCTATTCCTTGGGGGTATGCTCAGTTGTATTTTAATTACAGTAATGTACCATTAAAACCTCTTACTAACAAAGTATTTCTTCAAAATGTTGCAACTTTTTACAATCCATAAAGCAAAAACTTTAGACACTGACTTTTGTCCAGTCACAGGTAATTAGATTTTTAGGAGAGCAAAAAAATACAAAGAATTTAATTGGTCGTATTGTACCCACTACCAGCATTTTTACAAGTACTTGTACAAAAAGCCCAAATGCTGATATCAATACTCRGTTGAATGTACTACAGTTTCCATTTCAAGTGTGAAGTTAGTCAGTTCTATATTTAATACATTTATACAAGTTAAAAGAATATCTTATTTGTTAGTTTTGGTTATTTTTAAATTTTGCAACAGTAGATATGTTTTTAAACTCATTGTATAATGTTTAGGTACAGTGAGTAACCAAACTGAAGTGCTGTACTTAGTTTGAGAAAAACTTGTATTGGGACAACCTTGGAATGAATTTAACCTTAAGATGTATAAGAGTACTTATAAAAGTATTTCTGACAATAAAGCAAAAAAATTCAAACAAAGTGAACAGCAGCATAAAACTGCAGAAAGTTTCACAATATGTATGAATGCCTCTTAATAACTGATCCATCTTTAACAAATACAGCCCTAAGAGTCCAAAGACTTAGAAAAAAAATCACTTTCATGACCGGATAAAATTTAAAACAATGACTTAACACATCTGTATAACCACATRCTGTTTGAATACATTTACATTCAGGATGCAAAAGGATCAAAAAGGAACAGATGTAACTGCAAATGCTTAGACATTATAAATAGTTCATGTCTATTTACATATAAGCACGCACACGTAAGAACAAAAACCTCGGAAAACAATAGAAACGATGAGTGCATACACCAGTGTTCTCAGCACTTTCACACCTTTCTGCAGATCATTTTTCATATAGCAAAACGTAAAAAAAAATAATGAAATAACGTTTTGGGCTGTAGAGGACGAGAGAGAGGAGGGGGGAAATCCAGACAGGAAGAAATAGAGTAGATAGACAGGAAAAATGAGATAGGGGCTATCGATCGGTTGGAGTCGGCTCAATCCGSCACTGAACTTTATCACAAACACTGAACATCACAGCAGGAAGCTCTCTGATATCCAGGAGAGAACAGAGGAATGTTCAGTCACTAGTCTCCATTCACATCTCCCATTCGTTTTCATTTCCTTTCCCTTTCAACCCCCCAGGAGCACCTTTTATTTATTTTTTTAAAGAATATTCTCCATCTTCTTTTATAGCTCGGCTCTTTTAGATGTCTCACTTTCTCCCTTTTGTCTTCCTCTTCTCCCTGTTCCCCTGCATCGTCTTCCAGCAGCTTGGCTTATTAGCATTCTCTCTGTTCATGTAATTGATTCCTCATGCCGTCCTCTGGCGAAAATGTCATTCATAATTCCATGTGATAGTTGGATGGGTGAGGGTTTGGTTCGGGTGGCCACTGACCCATTTCAGGCAGATGCAGAAACCAAAATCTGATTACAGCAACCAGATCGAGACCCTTGACAGACCTGGCTGTTTGTCCAACTCCAAACTGTAGATGAAGGGTCAAACTGAAGGAGGGTAAAGAGGAAGTAATTGTGCCTTTCTTAAAACTAATCGAGTCACACTGGACAGATCAATTAGATGGTCAGAGTGTGTTTGCTTAGCAACAGAAATGAGCAGCTAAAGGTTTTTCTTTTCTTTTTTTTACATTTTTCACATGCACTGAGACGATTTAGTTATGTGGCACCAATCAGGATCTCAAAAGCACCTGGTTGCAGCTGCAGAGAGAGAGGTGTGTGTCTGTGTGTATATATACATCAGATCTAAAGGGGGGTCCAGTCCACTCCTCATGTTACAGTAAGGTCAGTGTAACTACATGTGAGGCAAGACTGAAAACACAAGGAARTTTATGGAGGGCAAAATGGTGCAAAGTAATAAAAGTTCAAGAGGCGGCAGAGATTAAAGCAAATCAGACTGAGACACAGAAAAAAATGACTTTATTGGAGTTCTGAGACAAAGTTAAGCATGATGTGGAGAGCGAAAGAGGGGRAAAGTGTGACAGAAAGAAAAATAAGAGAGAAACTTACCGGATGCCTGCCCTGAGGGTACATGATCCCAGGAGAGGAGAGACTTCCAGTCCGTTTAATGGCCAGGTTACTCCCCTGGCCTTCCAGTTCTCGACCCTCCACCGGTCTCACACACACACACACACACACACACACTGAGTGCTTCTCAGTTGTCACTCTTTGCTCTTAAATTCCTGTTTCGAAAACCCCTCCGTCGACTCGTTCATCCAACAATGTCCTGATAAAACGGAGCCCCCGACTTTTCCACCACCTCCTTCTTCCTCATCCTTTTCCCTAGTTCCTCCTCCTCGTCTTCCTAACTGTTTGTCCCCCACCTCCACCAACACCTCTCTCTGATCAGTCAAGGTCCAAACATGTTGGCATGTCACAGAGACAGCTTCTTCTCCTCCTCGTGCCCCTTCACCCAGCAGTCCAATGGCGAAACATAAACACTTCAGCTCCAGCAAATATTCCTCTTCTCTGCTTTTTCCTCCTCTTCTTCTTCACTCTCCCTCTCCCTCTCTCTCTCTCTCTCTCTCTGACACACTAAAGCCTTGACTGCTGCAGCAGAAAAAGGACAGGAAGGAGAAGGAGGAGGAAGGAAGGAAGGAGGGAGGGAGGGAGGGAGGAGAGAGTGAGAGCTTTGTTTTTAATCTAAATGTGGAAAAAAAACGCAAGAGGAAAGCAGGAAAGAACAGCAGGTCAGTGGAGGATCCAGCGGGCTTTTCAGCAGCAAGCCCTAGACTGTAATATATTGTGCCTGTTGGCTTCAACACAAACAGGACAGGCTGCTAAAGCTCCTCTTAAGGTGGAACCGCACAGATAGAGTCACACAGAGAGAGGGGGAGAGAGAGAGAGAGAGATGGACTCATTTTCAATTGTGGTCAGACACACAAAGCAATCAGTCACGCACAAAGACTCAGCCTCAAACTGATATGAAACGAGATACAAACACTCAATTCATGACAGATATGTGGACACGCTCAATAGAAAAAACACAAAATACACACAAAACACGCACACATCACAGTCACTCAGCGTGAGAAGTTTATTAGCCAGTTCACACCTTGCATTAAAATGCATTTTGAGATGACTGGATTGTAATCTAATGACGTCTAATCGCGTATAATCCCACGTTTAAACACATCCAGGTTGCACAGAGAAGTCATAATGACAGGTTTTCTCAAGCCGCTTCCAGAAAAGGGTCTGAGAAGCAGGTTTGAAATGAATACTTGTTAGAGCATGCATACTGCCAACTATTCCTAAACTCAGGGTGTTTTCGCACCTCTTAGTCCGGTAGACTCGGTTCGATTGGGGACCAAAATTGAAACATTTGTTTAAATTTTCTGCTGGTGCAGTTTGCATTCACACTGCACTGTGTCAACCAAACCCTGTGAACAACCTGTTCGCCGCCGAGCCACTGAAGGAAAACGACACAAAAACCTCTGAACAGAACWCTGAGCRCATCCTCCTTCTTCACAAAATATAYACAAAAAAGGAGTGGCATCTGATTTTAGTGGTTATAGGATTCCTCTCAGCTTTGGCATATGTGCCAAACAAACTTCAACTATAARCTCCTCATGAGCAGAAGACGCCAGAACTACGGAGAATGTTGTTTTTCACACAAGGTGGTTGAGACAACTCTATGAGGTGGTGTGCACAGAGTAGGAGCACGTCCAGCTTAATAGCAGTGCTGTCCACCTTTTACAGACAACGAGCAAGGTATACGAGTAACTTTATTACTATTGTTACTTAATGTTCTGCGCTGTAGTCCACTTCCTGTTTTTGGAGAGGCCTCCGATCCGCTTGGCATTCACACCATACCCAAAATCACTTCAACCGAACAAAGACCTAGGTTTGTAGACAGACCAGATTTGGCTTTATTTTGGTCCGCATCAGAGTTCGATTACGCAGTCACACAGCTCCCCAAACCAACCGGACTATAACAAGGAAGGAGGGTTCTGCTTAACCAAACACATGGTTCCACCAACATGACACAATAATGTCACCACGTACGGCTTACAGCTGAACCCTACACTCTCTGGATCTAAGGGCGGATTCACAACAGCCCTGTTTGGTCCGCTATGATCGAACTCTAGTTTGTTTGCCTTGAAAGTCTGGTACATTTGGGRAGGTGTGACCGCGTCTTCCAACCAAAAAAGCGAASTCTGGTCTGTTTATAAACCAAGGTCTCGGCTCGGTTGAAGTGAACTCTGAGGAAGCTTGGACGCACTGTAAACAAAAAACAATATTCTCCATGGTTCATCTTCTGTTTATGATGAGCCCAGTTGAAGAGTGTTTGTTTTGGCACATTTGTCCAAAACAAAAGAGAAATCCTACAACCGCTAACTGACATCACTCCATGTTTGTTTACATTTTGTGAAGAAGGAAGTTGTGCTCAGTGTCTTCTTCTGAGGTTTTCGTGTTGTTTCCTTCAGTGATTCTCGATGCAGCGCCCCCACAGAGAGGGTGAACAGGTTGCTCCAAGGGATTGATTTGTTTGACACAGTGCAGTGTGAAAATGAGCCACACCAGCTGAAAATGCAACAAATATTGCAAATTTGGTCCCCAACTGAACCGAGTSTCCCGAACTATCATTTCTGAAAACACCCCAAGTCGTAAAAGACCCCCCAAATACCTCCACACACGCTGAAATTTTTGAAATTTTCCCCAATGTCCTTCGGTTAGAATTAAATGGGAGTGCACCGATTCCAGTTTTCTGGCCTATCTCGAATCACCAATCTTTAAAAAGTCTGACCTGATGATTCTGATTTTGGCTGATAGAAATTTTTTAAATAACTGACACAAGATGTTATAAGGTCACAATCCACCTTCAATGTTTCAATGTTATTTTATTGAAAAACATTGAACAATACCCTTTCACAAAACAAACTTGTTTTAACTGGACAGGTAGTGCTCACAGCAGAGCAAAAGGGAACAGTGGCTAATTTTCAGACCTTTGTAGAGGTAGAGAAGCCAATCGTTTCCACAGATCTTATCTAAGGATTGGCTGATCTCTGTTATCCCAAAATTAAGGAAGGTGCACCCCTAGATTTAAACCATTAATACAAACTGTATTGCTGCTTTATTTATTCAAGTAAAAACCCACGTACCCTGATTTGTTGGGTCTGGATTTCCCAAGATTAAAATGTTTCATAGGCTGAGAAAATTCTACATCTCTCAGGGTTACAAAACCTTTAAAAAAATGCTTTTCTCTGCACCCGCCAAACCATACCCCGCCTCCTGCGAGACCTAACTAAAATCCACATTTACCAAACGAGTGTGCAATCTACACCTAGAGTAATTAAACTTTCAAAGTATCAAATAGAAAATTCTGAAGAGATAAATGACATTTCTGTGTCTGCATTGCGAGTTGGCAGAACTGTGAGCGCTGCATCCGAGGAATGTCCACTCACCACTGGGGATGTAATCAAAATCAGTAAGTCAAGTATCTCAAGGATTACCGCTGTAACACTCTAGAAATATCTGCCACGGCGGGATAAAAATGTCTGCTTGAGTGCTGGATCTGGTGCAAGGGTTATTTACAGGACTACCCAGAATGGACCTGAACCTACTAAGACAAGATATTTAAAGACTTTCCAAGTAGAGCACACCGTGCTGGGCCCAGACGTCTTCTGCTGCTGTAAATAATCAGTTTATCCAGGGCAGCTCTGCCTTTGAACTTGATCAAACAGCCATTAATCCGACACTGTAGACTCGGACAGTCAGTCCTGGCATCCGTGGAGGATTTCTAGTAAGATACAAAGTGTGTTTGATAACTAGAGGGTTAGGAAGGGGGCAGCTCCAAAGCCACAATTAAGGGCAAACATAGACATCCTATTACACCAAACACTACAAATCCTTTTGGGAAAGCTGATGCTTCTTTCTTTCTTTCTTTCTTTCTTTCTTTCTTTTATTTTATGGCACTCCTCACTGAAAGTTACTTTTGAGTTTGCTTTAATGTTTAAACTTCTATTTGTGCCAGACACCAAAGCTACCTTTAGATTAGAAAACAAGGTTTGAATTTAATTTAAAAAGATTAAGTTTGAGTTGAGAGATATAAATCATTCACGATAATCTCTTTATTAATAATTTCAGTTATGTACGTTAATATACAGTCATTTTAATCAAACCAAATAGACTTATATTCGTTTATTATCATTATAAATGTCACATGTGATCAAACTCAAGGCCTGCAAGCCAAATCTGGACCTCGTTAACATTTTATCTGGTCCTAAAAGTAACATTGCAAGCGTAAATTAGTTTTTTCTTTTGTCCCTGTATTTAGTACATTCTTCTCATGACTTTTGTCACAAGAAAATTAAGTTTGAATTTTTCAGTAATCTTTAATTTTTTTGTAAAAAGAGCAACCGAGAAGCAGCTTTAATTATGTTTTTTGGTTTTCTTTTTATTTTGAAGTCAAATAATTGGATTTTCCCTCAAGTTTTTCTTTTTTTAGTTGATTTACTGGATTGTGATAAAAATGTATAGTAAATTATAAAGCTGTTGATAGAGTAAGGTATACAAAATGAATGCTGATGTGCCCTCGCTTCATGAGGTTATGTATGTTCTAAATGCCATCATTCGGAAAAGGTCATTTATATTTCTATAAAAATAATTTGTTGCATAACATTTCTTCATTAAATTTTGACAGAATTTGGCCCTAGGCTGGGACCAAGTTTTGATTTTTAGCCTCCTTGTGTAATGGAGTTTGACCTGATTTAGTTTGCCTTTTTTTTTTTTGTCAGAAGAATAAAAAAAACATACAAAAATGTAACAAATTCTTTCTGTATTTAAGCAAATACTAAGCAGACTTTTCTAGATCAAACAAACTTATACCAAATATGTTTTAAAAGCAAAGTAGGATGTGTGTTGGTGGAGTTTGCATTGTTTGGATGATATGTGTATACTTAGTTGTGAAACTAATAAATTCTGTCTGATTGCTCAGATCCATATAACTATATAATGATTTTAACTCACAAGCATAATTGGTCAGTTGAATGCTGTTCTTGTTAGATGAATAAAAAAAAATCTTGGTGAAAATCATCTGTTAATTTTTTTAAGTTTAAGTCACATAATCTTAGATATGATTAACTGCATTCATACCACACGACATGACCTCTTGTTGGAAATTACGTGTGGAATCAGATTGCAGCAATAACAGCTCAAATATGAAGTAACGACAGCACCACCTTCCCATGTGGAAACATCCATCCATCCTAATTATTCACACCCGAAACAATTATCCTTTTTTTTTTTTTCATTTTTTGGTTTATGCAGGGCTCGAGGTTAGACACAGAAAAAACTGAGGTTTTACAAAAGAAAGCACAAGCTGGCTCGCACTCAAACCGAAAGACACCATGCTGTGAGGAAACTGTGATTGCTCAAAAAGAAACATCACACGCCCCTTTGGCAGGCTGCCCAAAACTTCTTGATGAGGAAATTTGTACCTCCCCGATGATGAAGTGTCCATTTCTGACAGAACATATTTCTTTATCCTCAGCCTTTGCTCTGAATCACACACASAGTGATTCA